ATAAGGGTGTGTATGAAGGGTGAAGGAAGTGAAGGCAGCATAGCCACAGAACAGAGTCGGCAGCAAATGGTCATTCACAGCATAACCTCATAAACTCCTGAAAGGATGTTAGCAAATCTAGAGCAGTCGAACTAGAAAGACAGTGACACACTTAAATCCTTGTGCTAAATTAGGCTCCCATAGCAGAGGCACCTGGGCTTTATGGCTGGACAAGTGAAGCATCTAACATCTGAGAAATAACCAAAATATGGGCAACAAACTCCGAGATCTGAGCTATGAAAGACCACACTATAAGCAAACCGGAATGTTAGCTGAACCTCCAGGAGTCCAGAACTATCCTGTCATAGCCAGGTGTCTCAAAATGCATGATTCATTTGTTTAAGCAACAAACATGGCAGGATAATGGAGACTGCAAGAAGTGTCATCTAAAGAGGGGATGTCAGCTGCAAGCAAATAGCAGCAGGTAACTCTGACTATCACTGCAGGAGGACACCAAAGAACCTGTTCCTGACACCATGTTTTGTTGACAGAACTGGATCTGAAAATACCTAAAGCAGAGAACCATAGACCAGCATGAGGGGGACCGTGGGGTGAAAGCATGAAGAACAGCCCCACAATGGGGAGTGAAGCAGCAGCTGTTGGGTACAGCTGCTTCACTGCAATAGGCCCAGCGGTACCGTTGGAATAACTGCAAACTTATGTCACATGGGCCACACGGGCACAGTTGTTTGGAGAGTTGTCGAAGAGGCAGTTGTCCCAGGCATTGTGTTGAAGGGGGAAGCGTTGCAAGCCTCACAGCTGCCATTTCGCTGGTACAACATGCCCCAACACATGGGCGGTCATACATCACACTCACAGAGGAGGTCCCCCCGGCCGCAGAATCATACGGCCAAAGAAAAAGCAAGAACAACAAATGATCAAGCAATGATCGGGCAACGAGACACAAATCTGGCATGATGACAGGTTGGCTGTGGCCCACTAGAATATCTTATGTATCATGAGATGAAACATCTCAACATACAGGTACCAATAAAGGCGGCACCAAGTGATAAAGAAAGGAAGCAGGATTCAGGTCAGGAGTTTCATTGCAGATCCACTCAGAAGTATCTAATTACAGAATATCTCCATCGGAACAAGATAAATGTTGACTCCGGCCTTCGATAAAAAGTAGCAAACGGCGGGAGGGGGGGGTAAGGAGTTATTATGCAGCCAGCAACATGGATGGGAAACTGCAGTGGGAGTGTTCAAGGTGACACGCTTGCAGGGGGAGGCACGGACTGTGTTTCATTTCCCTGCAAGTTTCCTGAAATCTAACATGCTTTTCTGCCAGGGGGGCTATGCCTTACTGTGGCAAGGGGGGGTGCAGGCGAGTCTCGGTCTGATCCTGTAGGCTTTTGACTGTTAGCTCACCAGCTAACACTGGCTGCTGTGCTAGTTTTTAGCTTTTATTTAATCAGCATATGCTTCTGTCCATTTTCCGGCCATCTGATCACAGGCACAGTGTCTAACCTGCTGCGCCACACGCCGTCATGAGTGGAACTTCTGTCTCCTTCTCTGACCTGGAGTAGAAGAGCAATGATGACAATGACGACAAGTCATGGCTGATCATCATATTGCACTCTTGCTCTATAATCTTCCTACCCTCATGGCCCTCACTAACGCCCCCCCCCCCCAAATCCGCCTACTTCCCAGTTTTCTTCACAAGCGTCTCACTATAGAGATTCATCCCTGAGTTCCATCGATTCCAGGATGAGTCCCACAATGATGTCCTCAGCACCTCACATCTCCTCTCACTACGCAAACTAATTACGTTTCCAAACTGACCTCCGAATCCTTTTTTTCTTAAATCACATCTATAATTATGATTCATATGGCAAATTAGCTCAAATCAAACCATGCATCTTAATTAACGTGCCAGTCAGGTGGTGAGGGGGGCAGGAAAGGGGGAGGGGGGGTGCCTGAATTTCATCATAAGCTTGTGATGGCGCTGAATTAGGATGAGCTGCCTGCTCTAGATTGGGCTGCTGAAGATGATATCTCACTGTTCATTTTACGCTACGGTGGCAAATTCATTAATAGTGCAAACTTTTAATAGCCGAGAGACTCTCCTGTGACCTTGCCACTAGTGTTGCATGCTAGGGGTCAAAGCAAGCACATCATTATCACAAAGGGGCTGAGGGGACTTGGCCTCCATCAACCAATCAAAGCCATGCCCAGCTGCCTGTGACATCATCGGAAGGGCAGTTCCTCACAGAGCAGTCAGCTGAGCAGGGAGTCTTAATAGGCTAAGCAGGCAGATTCTGAACTTTATGGGGCTCCTGTAGGCTTAGATACACACGCGCACACACACACACTCACTGGATTCTGATCTGTGCAAGCCATCTGCTCTCCAGCTCAACTATCCACCAAAAGATAAATTCACTATGTCTGGCGGTACACTAAGCACGTTCTATGTCCCTCCCAGGAAGAGTTTTGAATTTCCATTAACGGAAGACAAAAAAAATGCAAAGTGGCTGAAATGCGAAATCCTCCAGGCCTTGTGTTAGGTGTCATCTGGTTATATATATAGAACAGTAAAAACATTCTAGGTTTTGTGACAACTTCCTCATCCAAGTTCCCAGCCGACAACCTCCCAGCCTTCCTGCATGCGGATGCAGGCACTCAAGACTCACGCCTGGATGGGACGCCTTTACAGTCACTCAGTAGCGTCCACAGAGGGAGAAGCTTGGTGATAATGTCAGTGACACAAATAAAGGCAGAGCAAAGAATGACTTCACACAAGGCACTGCCAGTCACTCCACACATGCATCCGCAGCATCAGATTTACGGCACAATTATATGCTCAGAGCAATGAACCAATACCGGCTCCTCCAGCGGTACACAGAGGCGGGGAGGAACACACGATTCATTCAAAAGCCTTCCGTTAATAGACAGGCTGGGTAAATAAATAACTGTGGTCAGGCTCAGTTTCAAACCCGGAGGCGAGTCCAGAGTCGCCGTCCTTCATTTAGAGCAGCGGTTCTTGACCCTGTTCCTGGCACCTCCTGCCAGAATGCTTTCACTCCAACCCACACTGTCACATTCATTATTAGCCTATTAAAAGGCATGGTTAGAATGAAAACATTCAGGCGGGGGGGGGGGGGGGGGGGGGGGGGGGGGGGCAGGAACAGGATTGAGAACCACTGCTTTAAAGGAATAGCTCCATGAATACAGAGGTCTCTGCCGCTCCCGGGACAGAGGGGCGATGACTGTCGGCTCCCAGGAGTACAAAACGGTTTTAAATGATACCGGAGACGCATCTTACAGCCTTACAGCCCATTTATATCTGCCTCCATTGGTCCTCCTCATGTGGATGGTAGATCGCTACTCCTGGACCATGGGGAGCCAAGGAAATATGACATCAATCAACACCAATCATTTCAGATACTCCACTGCCCACCTACCCAACCACACTGTGCCTGTAGCATCTGAGGCCAAGGCACAACCCCAGAGGACACGACAGTTCAGCCTCGAGGACGAAATGACTGGGTATCGCATCAGCAAGTGCAACAGAAAAGCTAAGTGTGGCTCTGCAAACGTGTATGCGTGTGGCCAGTGCTTGTGTGCAGTCTCTAGAACCATGCCCCGACTATGAGAAAACATGACCTCCACTTAAGATAAGCTGCGGAAAATCTGATTTCTATATTAAAATATGTAAAAACTACAGATACAATCTGCTGCTGAGGCAACAGGAAAATCAACTTGGTTCTCTTGAGAAAAGCAATCTCTGTTTCTGAAGATAATCCTTCAATAGTCTGATAATCTTTGACACCACTATAAAGCTGTGAGGACAGGGCAGTGACTGAGGCCGACCAATCAGAGGAGTGGGCAGGCACAATCCTCCAATCCCACCAGCTCACAGCACAGGCATCATCTAATGCTGCATTCTGTTTAAATCAGAGGTCGGAAGTCTGAGGTAGGAATGACATCACACCCAAATTAACTGTGTTCCAAGTCAGAAAGTCATTTATCAATACCAGGGACTTGTTTCAAAACCAGGACTTCTTGGTTAGCCAGTTGACTAGTCAGATTTAATTTACCCCAGTTATCTTTGATCACTTAGCACAGGCTACCTTAAATCCGACAAGCTGACTGGATAAGCAAGAAATCTTGCTTTTTGTAACAGGTCCCAGTTCTAGCCAGGTTCCCTAATAGCCATTGTTAGCAATATCAGCTGATAAAACACCACAGCAACATGTCCATAGATGGTGGTTGAACAGTACTTTGTGTATGACAAATTTAATGAAACACAAATGAGACATAAGTGCTAATAAACAGCATGAAACTTCAGCTTTCACTTAAGTCTGTAAAGGGCGCAGCCATCTTGAATTACACGGGTTGGGGTTGCAGAGGTTCCTCCGACTTTCTGAGACAGAATTCCGACTTCAGGGGGCATTCCAATTCAAATTTCCGACAATGAACTCGGAATTTCCAACCTCCGAGTCCAAATGGAACACGGAAATATGCTGCATATTCACAGTCCATTGGACCAGTGTAGGGACAGAGAGCGACAGCCTGCACCTTTCATTAATTTACATCACCCCAGTTCCCAGCTAAGACAAGCAACACCATCAAGAAACCTGACGGAAAATGAGTGTAAAGACAGCTTTAATAAAAAGCAGAATGGGTGGGGTATTGAGGTCATCTGCTCTTGCCACAATGTCCTAATTGTAAATCAATACAAACACACTTCTCTGCCTCTAGATAACTACAACATTTCAGACTGCTAACAGCTCAAATGGAGATTCTGCAGAACAACAGAGGACAACATAAATGGGTGTATACATCAACCGCAGGCTACTTGAAAAGTTCACCATCCAACACGGTCTACCGAGGGGAGGGGTGGCCACTGACCAGGAAGTCAGATTTATTTTATTTTTATTTTATACAAACATCACCTGCCCAGATCACTGTGTCATGTGCTCACCAGACAAGGAAGACAGGTTACAGCCGGAGCATACCTTCTTCATCCTCCCGCTGCGGGTGCCGGTGAAAACCACCGTGTTGCTCCTGTAGTCATAGGCAGCCACTGAGGTCATGCCGTCTTCCTTGTCCACAAACAGCGGCAAGCCCTCAATGGTGCTGGTTCCACCCAGGGGCTGGTTGAAGTCCTGGCCGCAGAAATTGTCATCGATCTGCAGGGGCTGGAAGAGTGACAACAGTGAACCCGACAGCCATGATGATTTACATATCATTACGAACGCCACACACAGACACGCGCACACACAGACACACACACACACAGACACACACACACATAGACACACACAGACACACACACACTTTGCCACCTAGCACTCATGTTAATGTATGAATCTCTGCCTCATGCAAGCCCCCCTCCAACGCCAACCCCCACCCACCTCACAGTTTTACTCCTAATTCAACCAGTAATTAATTATGAGCCTAACCGGGTCTGGCTAACCCGGTTAGGCAAGGGCTGCTTCTTTGATACAGACTAATAAGTTAGGTGCATATGTGAGGGCAACAGGTAAGCCACGATATCACCGACTTATCTCATGGGTGGTGAGGCTGTAATTGAAAATGATAACAGTATAGCCAGATGTAAGAAGTTCAAAAAAGGTGCCTCCAGAAGACATTCCAGAAGAGAGCTCCACGTTCCCAGCGGAGTAGGTGACCACGCCTGCAGATGCTGCGCCTACAGAATACTGACCCCCAACAGGCCACAGCAGGATCTCATTAATAGCAATGAGGCTGCCTGCACCACACACCCCCCCCCCACATCAGAATCTGTGGCCTCCCACTAAAGCTGCTCATGTATCACCCATCCAGCTGGGGAGGGCGTGGGGGGAGCATCAGACGGAGAAGCAGGTTACCAAGCCAGAAGCCGTGGGCCCAAGAGAACCACGGGCACTCAGAACAACAATAACACCATTCCTGAGCAAGAGGCTGGGCACGTATCCCTGCTCCCACTAATGGCGAGAGCTGAAAGATGAGGCTGCTGGGGGAAGAAGCAGACAGATAGAGTGGGGCAAGGGCGAGTTTTACAGTAGAGGGGAAAACCCTTAGGAATAACATGGCATTCTGCATGAAGGCCCCCTAAACTGCAATCTGATCACAGTAATGGATAAAGAGTCTCATGTAACATATCTTTTCTGAAAAAATGGCTTAATCTGGGTCACTGATGGAGAAACTATGTGGAAAATGCAGGATCACAGCCTCTTTAAAAAAGCGAAACCAGAGTCAGTTATTCCAGTAAATTCCAGTGTGGGTCTGGCCTCCCCTACAATATAAAATGACCACAATTTTGGGGGCCAGTTTTTCACAACAATATTGTTGAAGTGCAGTCAAAACAGAGTCCTGGGAAGAGGTGAGAAGGGATGCGGAAGCTCATACGGTTGACAAAAGGCTTTCTAAACCCACGGGTCCCTAGTCTAAGTCTGGAAGATCATTTACAAATGGAAGAATACAACTCTCTTCGAGAAAACGCGAATAATGTGAAAAAAGCAACAGAGCGGAGTCGCTGGCTTTGGCTGCTTTGCTTTGCATATAATATATTACAATATTTAAGTAAAAAGAGCTCTGGTATTGCAATCTGTATTGGTATGGGCAGTTGTGCATCTGAATTGTACCAGAAATTAAAAAATGTGGATCGGCCCCTCCCTAGTATAACAGTAGGGCTGCTTTGTAGGGGCCTAGCTGGCTTGCATTGACTGGGTGTCCAATGAATTCCAACCTGTATTAGAAAATTCTACCACAGAATGTCATTTTATCTGTCTAATGCTCCAAAGAATGTGGGTCAGGCAACGTTTCAATAAGCCAGAGGAGCAGATCAACAATAGTGTGGCTCAAACAAAATTCCATATTTTAGAAAGATCAAGTTAGAGTTCTGACCTCAATCCAATTGAAATGCTGCTTTGTGATCAGAAGCAAACTGTTCAAGAAAAACATGCCAAAAAATACACGTACTGACCGCTTCGTATAGAGGACCGGGCAAAATACCTACTACTACTGCAAAGTATGATCAGAAGCTAAAAAAGGCATTTGGTTGAGACTGCCAATACAGAACAATCCATTAGTTACAAAATATGAGGTTTCACATAATTTACCACCAGTTGATTTGACTTGAATTACCTTGATAGTTTAAACCATCTGTTCCAAAAAGATAAAGCAATAAAACAATGTTTGCCGTAAGTTTCAATAATACTGTCATTATTATGACTGTGATAAAGATCAGACTGGATTTTAGAATAACACAATGTATGAGTCCAAACATTTTTAAATGTTCACTAACTTTTCCTTCGCGTAACCCCCCCACCCAGCCCAACCCCAGTGCTCTCATCATACTGTAGCCGAAGCAATCAGTGATGTAACAGAAGGTGATGTAACACCTCAGGATAAGCTGTAGCTGGCAGCAGCCACCAACAAGGGCTACGAGGGAGACTCGGGGAGGGGGCCGTGGGCTATCAGAGCACCGGAAACAGAACAGCGGTCATCCTGACTTTAGATGTTAATGAATCATATAATGAATCACATATCAGCACTCGTATCCTCTGCTCTCCGCAGACTTCCAGTGCCGGCCTGTTCGCTATGTTTGTTTGTTTCACTGTGACCCATCTTCTCCAATCAAGGAAAAACTTTTCCGGTCTAGAAATTGCACATCCCTGTGGAAAAGCAAGGCAGGGGTGTGGGGGGGGGGGGGGGGGATTGCTCTCGCTGGTCAGAGCTCTATCACAAGACAGAGTGTCAGATGAGGGCAGCAGAATCACAGGACCAAACATGTGAAAGGACCTTTGTTACAGCAGGGACAGACCACGGGGTCCAGTGCTGGGGGGCGAAGGAAGCGACCGTGATTCGGGGGATGAATTTACTACCACATGGCGGGTGGATTTAATGTGAAGAGTCTGAGAACAACTCGACAAAACGGGCCATTCACAAGAAGGCGAGTAGACACAGCAGTCCGTATTCACGTGGGCGTTTATGACGCGCTTTATCAGTGAAGTATTACTCGAGTCCATTGACCAGAGCGCCTCCTTTATTGGGATCCATGAAGATAAGCGGTCATGACACGTCCGTCAGCAGCTTCTGACACTTCCCCATCGCCAACAAAAGGCTGGGCCTCAGCCCCACGCGAATAATCTTAGCCAATGGAGGCCACTCTGCTTCCCGCCGTTTCAATCCGCCCACCCAGGTCACAAAGGTCGACTTTCTCCATTCCTCACTCTGACCCCCCCCCCCCCCCCCATCATGGTTTAATTTATAATCCATCCAGGGGGGCTCCCCGTCTGCAGCACAAAGGGAAGGCAGCCAAAGAGGGTGCAGAAAAGAGAACAGGTTTCACACGGCGCCCTTCCTTATGGGCATCTTGTGCCCTGAAGAAGGGGGGGGGGGTAATCAAATCACAGCAATGCATTCTGGGAAAGGTGTTTGGCCAGAGCAGCATCAACACGACCTTGAGATATTTAAAAATGGATAGAAACTCGAAGTGGATTTGGAAAAAAGAATTGATCAGACCACTGTCTTACAAGTGGGTGCTCCGGGAGCTGGGAAACGTGCAACTACCATGGGGCCGAGAGAGAGAAGGGGAGAGAGAGAGAGAGAGAGAGAGAGAGGAAGGAGGAGAAAGAGAGTACATATTTATCTCCAGCGAGGTCTGAAGCCCCAAGCCTCTCTTAGGACAGCACTGTGGGGAGCAAACCATAATAACAAAAGAGCAGAGAGATCTCCTGTAAACAGCAGCAATGGGAGAGAGAGTTAGGTCACCCACAGGAGAATGATGCAACACATCTGACAATTTTCAAAAGTGCTAGGGGGGACAAAATGGAAGAGCCTTATGCTTGCCGGTTATGGAGAAAAAAATCCTAGTTAACCGAGCCCCCAGAAGCAGCACGTTCCTGCAGGCCCCCGAGTCCCTGGTCCGACTGGTGATGCCGGATGCTGCTCTCCGGTGCCGCTCGCTCTTTGTTTTCCCCGGCTGCTGACGGCAGCTTTTTTAATTAGCCCTTAATGGTGGCAGGTCCTGCTCTGAGGCTGCGAGCCAAACACAAAGGAAGGATGGGCTTCGCTGTTGTGCTGGCCTGCCTCTCCCACGGTCCCGGCACGCCAAGCGACATCACCACATTTTCAGGTGCCCCTCCTTAACTGAGCTGTCAAGGCCCCCCCAGGCCTGTTCTCCTCATGCCAGTCCCCTCCTCACTGGGCCACTGGAGACCTCTCAGGTGTTGAGGTGCTGGCAGTAGCTGCAGGCTCTCGACGCTCACGGTCCCAAGGTGATACTGGTGCTGTTTATCAGCCCATTTAGCCATCTTTATTACCTGCTCTTCTTTAGGGGAAACACCTGTTTGTCTCACACCCTCCATCTAATTCAGGTCCTCCTTTGCATTTTTATGGGTCCGTGTGCCAATCCCACCACACCTTGTTTCAGCACTGAAGACCACATTTGACAGTCATCACCACAACTGTGCTTCTGGAGTAAAAGGTGGCAGGCTTTGGAAGTCTGACTCCACTGACTGCCTGTCTGCACCACATTCTTCTTTCTCCAGGAAAGTTAAGATAATACATAGACAGGTAACAATGTCAGATTCCTGCATCTGCGCGGGGACAACCTCAAAATCTTCTCATCTTGTAAAACCACTGTCTTCCGCCTGACTGTATCCAGCATGCCATGCACCTGGGCACAGGAAGTGAGAGCAGGCGGAGGGAACAGATGTTCAGATCCGGTGCAGGATTGCTCCGGGCTCAGTCGCCAGCACAGAGCCCTAATTACACACCGGCACACACCCAGCTCACACACGACACATTTACCAGGGAGGAAAGTGGCTTATCGGTACTCCTGACATGCAGGAAGGGTAACTGCACCGACCAGGTACCCACACACTTCAAAGATGAATGAGGTGCTTGGGTGACTCATTTACCCCAAACGTCCCTTGATGACAGAAAGACACGAGCAGCTGTCTCCTTAATTCAGCAGCGGTGGTACCAGATGAGACAGACTTTCATGAGAATTTCTTCAATTCACTGTTGGTAAAGGCTGGGGGTGCAGACACCATCCCAGCCACCGCCGACCCAATTCCAGGCCGCAGGTCGTTGTGCAATGGCAGGCTTAAGCCAGACATCAGACGTGGGCATGCTTCCTCTCACAAGTCCTGGTGAGGAGAAGTGTGACCGAGCCACTGGCAAGATCAGC